ATATTTAAAAAAAAAAGAAAAATTTGTCAAGCTTTGGAACAAACACATAACGTTAAATTCCTTGAAATGGTCTGAAATGCTATATATTTAACTTATATTGTGGGGCAGAGGAGATCATTCTTGATTTCTTTTCCAAATAATATACTCAATACATTATCAGTATTAGCCTATTAATATCCCCACTGAAGGGGCAGAGCACAGGCTTCGACAGGAGCTCGAGATAATAAGTTTTTTTGTCACCCATCAAATTACCGACCATTGCCAAAGTTGCTTAACTTCCACGATCGCAAGCCGAACGCGCTAACCACCTGGGCTGTTGAGCTCAGTACGTATGTACTAAATGCGTATGCCATCAAAATCATAACTTGTAAAAAACCAAGTCAATCGCATGAAAACACAATGTATCTCCCATATTATATTAAATTAGATTGTTGAGTGCGATTGCCAAGTAAATTTATTTATTTAAAACATACAATATTTTCAATATTGATATGGTCAGTATAAGATGTTGTTAGGTGAGCTAATTTCGTAATAACTAAAGACAAAAGGTTCCTTAAGTAGGGACTGAATAAATTACTGGCAACCGACTTGGCATAACATGGATCTCACAACTTTTGACGGTAGTAGAAGTAGAACTGAGTTGCGACACTTGGTTTTTTTACAAGTTATGTTTTTGATGGCATCTCATTTCTTTTTGTAGATAGCCCTACTTATTTCTTTCAGGTACCTTTTACTTTTTGAATACCAACAAGTCTTCTGATGAGCTGTCTTGTGAGCTTTTTTATTTTTGTAGGTTCCTCTTTTACTTTTCCGGTACTACTTCCTGAGCTTTAGCTACAGCTTTTCTCAAAGCCCACTCCCTGTATCTATGGGTTTTTCTTGGAGGCTTTGATGTTAAAAGCTTTGTTAAGTCCGAACGATAATTGCTTCTAAGTCTATTTATATTCACAAATTGAGGTCGAGATTAATTAAATGTAAGCCGCCAAGATTTGTAACTCTCAAAAGTGCTACGTAAGCTTGACCAGATATGAATACTGCAGAACCGATATCAATCAACGCATTATTTAGACTTAGACTCTAACTTTTGGTTCGATTACAATGTAATACCTAAGAATTATCCAATCAACGTTAAACGTCTATATAAATGCAAAAGCAACTGTCATTTCGTGAACTAACTACATACAGCTCCGTCTTACGGTAAAAAGTAAAAGTAAATAAAACATATTCAAATTGATGCGAACTCTAAAACCATTCGATTCGCGTTCTATTCTAAAATATAAATCATATAATTATGGGATTCCAATTTTCCATTATTATACCTAGATACTTATCTACGCCCTCTATTATAATAGAGTACAACATTTATATAACACATGCACTGATTCATTAACTGCAAATGTTACTTTGTAATCCTTTATATATAAAGTTATTTATGCAGTTAGTATATCTAGAAAACTGGGCCGAAATTGCAAAATATATTTATTTATTTTTTTTCCTTAATTTATACTTTAACATACTGTATTCAAAATTTAAAGCTTCTATGTCTGCTAGAAGTGCCTTAGAGTTTTGATGATCGATCGGTCAGTAAGTGACAAAATTAAGAAACTTTCACTAGTTATAATTCTTAAACTACTGGCTCAAATTCAATAAAATTTGGGATATATCGAGTTTATACAATGCCTATTTGGTTACTGAACACAGGCTTCTACTTTTATCGCTAACGAAGTTATAGGGAGTTGAAAATGGCCTGAACTGTTTCGATAAAAGGGTGGTACGGCCGTGCCGCTCTTTTTCCTTGACTTGGCGGGGGCACTGCTGTGCCCCCAGATTCCCGAAATATATAGGTTAATATTTTTTTATCATTTTCTATATATATATATATACGCTAGCGAAGCACTCGTTGAAAGCATGGGATTGATCTTTGCCGAAAGCTTGAAATCATTGAGGTTTTTTTTCTTATTAATGACACATGATAAAATTACTGACTTTTTAAGCCACTGAGAAAAACATTATCAATAAAACAAATAACTTTAATTCACTGCAGTATATTTTTTCGCTATCCCCATTAAATTAAACAAAGAATGGATAAGCTTGGGTCAGTTACGCAGTGTTTTGTGTCGATATACTACGGTTGATATTATTAAGGGTGTAAAAGCAATTAAATATAGGCAGGTTATCCGATAAAAGGCAGCAAAATCAGTTGGAAAGATTTTTTGCACAGCAATATAATTTGTAAAAATAAACATTGAATTTTGAGCATAAAAATCATAAGTACTAAAACTATAAATAAGCTTTCAGATAGATATTTATAAATGAAACATGTTGTTTTCATTATAAACAAACATTATGTTCATTCATCAAAAACTATTCATTCAAATATCGTTCATTCTTTTAATGCCACATCCCTAATTTTGTGTTGGTGTACGCTCGAACAAGAGGCTAGTTGACCCTTTTTGGAAAAAGGTTTTAAATGGTTAATAAATGTTCTATAAGACCGAAAAAAAATGTATTGTATTTTTTTGAGACCTAAAAAGCTACAAATCTTTAATTTTAAAATAGATTTTTCATGGACATACAAAAACGCTATCGGCCATTTTAGTCTATAGATTATCTATGCTATGACGTTAACTGCAGTAAACACATAGAGAAAGGTAAATAAACAAAAACTCGTAAGAAAATAACTGACTTTATAATAAACAAAAGATGATTTCTAATAAATACCCCCAAAAATAAAGTAATTATCATTATTGTATTGTACGAGAATATAAAAACACATCCTTGAAGATTCCAGGAAAGTTGTGAATTAAAAGTGCCGAAAGAAATTAACCTACGCAACTTTATTACACTTATTCATAAGTTGTATCAGTTTTATGTTTATTACTACATTGGTGCCAATTCTGGCGTGATTCTCTAAACTTAAATCTAAATTTAACATCAGTCTCTCCTTTTCATTCTGTATAGAGAATAACAAGGATACACTGTTGTCAAATTTAAGTTTAGGTTTAGAGAATCATGTCAGAATTGATACCAGTGTAATACTAAATACACTGTACTTACATAGATGTCTTGTCGTTTCTCTGCTCCACAGAGCAGAAATCGGGGCTTAGTGAAATAAATTCACCAACCATGAATACGTCAATTCTTGGCAGATTTGTGCTTTCTGTTTTCACAAAGCCGGCATCCATAATTAGTTTTTTCAAAAAAAACAGTAAACGGAAATTTTTCTAAAGTTAAAAGTGTTTTTATGATAAATTTAGTCAGACGAAAGAATCCACCCACAATAACACGGGAATGACATTTAGTTGTTTACCATATGAGACGTCACAATCATGGCGGAGGTGGCGAACAGCGTTTTTAGTGTTTAAAAAATATAGACTAAAAATATTTTTTAAAATTAAATTTCTGCAGCAATCTTCTGCTTTTATGGAGTGAAATTGATATATTTAGGTTCCTTAGACCAAATACTTTATGAAATAAACATTTATTTAATACAATTCGACATGAGTCAACTAGCCCATTGCATAGTTACATAAAAATTGTTAGCGTGTGTGCGTTTTTGAAGTTATACTTCTTTAGGCGCGTTATGAAAAAATGATGAGAGTGAAATTTTAAGATGCGCGCGCATCACTGTAACACAAAAAATTAACAGCATGAAGTTGGTCGCTAAAGCGACCAACTTCATCTTCATCTTCAATTTACTTTTGTGTTTACCGCACATTAAGAAAATCTACCAACAAAATAGAAATAGAATCTCTATTTTGTGGGTGCTAACGACTACATTGTGAAGGCCTATCAAAAGTATTTATTAATCTGGAACAACGGAACCAAAGCGCGATTCAGGAGACTACAGCGCCATCTCTTGACCATTGGTGTAGTAGAACCAAAAACCACAACTTTATTTTTTGTAATAAAGTACAAAAAGTATTTATTAATCTGGAACAACGGAACCAAAGCGCGATTCAGGAGACTACAGCGCCATCTCTTGACCATTGGTGTAGTAGAACCAAAAACCACATCTTTATTTTTTGTAATAAAGTAACAGTTATAGGTATTCATATTTATAATATTTATCCACATGTTTCTAGTTTGTATATTCGGAATACGTGTTTGAGTTTCATACAAGTGCAAATCACATATGTTCTAATAAATTATATTCAGTAGCGATTTTAATTCAATATTTTGATTATTTATTTATTTTTTCAAATTAAAACTGAACTTTATTGACGGTGTCCTTTTCCAGACTTTTTATTAATTTATTGTAATTAATTTTTGCATGCAATCAAAAACTAATTTTAAACGATGCCAAAGAAGGATAACTTCTCACGCGCCTACATAAGTACACGCACCCATTTTTTTTTATTTGTGTGACGTAATTTTTGAAGTGTGCGTTTATAGCAACAACACGCTCGTGTTTGTGGGAGTATTGCATATTTTCATTAGTGTGCTATACGTGTGTACCTCGTCCCGCACCAAAAATGGTGAAAAATTTTGTTCGGCGAGTGAACGCAATGGCACCTCCTGGTATAAATGCTCTAAGGACTACACTGGTGTCAATTCTGGCATGATTCTCTAAATCTAAACTTAAATTTGACAACAGTGCATCCTTGCCATTCTCTATACAGAATGAAAAGGAGAGACTGATGTTAAATTTAGTTTTAAGTTTAGAGAATCACTCTAGAATCGACACCACTGTTTATTTCTCGCGCTTGTTTTCGGAATCTGAATCTGAATCTGAGTGCACTCTGGCCGCACCCTTAGTACACTCTGGCCATACCCTATAATTAGGCGCGTACTTAGTCCAGTGGTTTAATGGTCTAAGATTGACAGTGATTGATTCAATGGCTGTTCGCTGACTGATTGACTGACATATTGACACAATAGATTGATGGAACACAGATTAGTAGATTACTAAGATTGTAGGAGATCGAATTGAGGTTATGTACATTTGTAGCCTTCTACAAAGAGTAGTATTTATATGGCCTTCTATTCTGTTAAATTAAATCAATTCATAATTCTTAGTTATCTGTTGTTGTGTTTCCACCAGAAGATAAAACGTAGTACTTTTTATAAACATATACATTTACTCATGTATTGTAGTTAAGTACAGAAAGGTCGTTCCATCTTTATTGTTAGCGGTTTAAACTGTTGTCCTAATAAAAATGACCTCACTAAATAATGGTAATTTTGTTGTATCAATAATTATTTTTATTATCTTTAATGAATACTGCTCTAACAACGAACTTTTATATTCCACAGGATTGTTAGTTACACGCATACCCTTCATAGTTGCTAAGAGATTTCGAGGCAAAATAAATATTCAAAGACCGAGAAAACCTCATTTTGAAAGGCAGTTGTTGATTGATTTAGCGAAACCAGTGCTTGGAACACCAAAGTATAAACTACCTGAGATAGACCTATGTGATTCCGGCTTGAGCAAAAAAAAAGAAGAAATTGATAATCCATTTGAAAGAATATTGGCCACAGAATGTCTGAATTGGTTTAATACATCAAAAATGATTGTATTTTTGCACATGAATTCTATAAGTATGGAAGATAAAACACCAATTTTTGCTACTTTGAAAAAGAATGATATGCATTTAAGGACTTATGGTAAAAAGATAGTGAGCATGGCCACAAAAGGCACGAGATATGAAGCTGTTAATTGTTTATTTACATCTCACCAAAATATTATATTTGGACAGTCTGATAAAGCAGATAAATTATTTAAAATCCTTAAAAAAGCCCCGCAAATGGTAGTTATAGGTATGTTTCCTAATACAAGCATTTTATGATGATTAGCGACCAACTGTGGATTTTTTCATGTCAACATTAGCTTTTTGAGAATTCCTTAAATTTTTTGAAGATAAAAAGTATTACAATGCAGGTAATAAACTATATGTGTGCTAAATTTCATCCAAATCTGTTCAGCCGTTTCACATTTTCATTCTGTAAGAAAAAAATACAATATTTGTTGTATGTTTGTTACTCAATTAGGGGCTGTTCAAGTATTACGTAAGAACTATAGGGGGGCAGGGGGGGTCTTTGCTTTGCTTATTTTTGATGATATGGGGGGGTGGGGGGTACCGATGGTGATTATGTCAGCATCATCGATTAAGCCTTTTTAAGTACTGCTGCTCATGAAGCTCATGAAAGCTCATGAATCAATAAAAAAAACTAATTTAAAAAACTAATAAAAAAAACTCAAAGGAAAAATGCATATAGGTTTACGTAAGGATGGGGGGGAGGGGTAAGAGCTTTGCTTACTTTTGCTGACGAGGGGGAGGAGGGGGTAAATAATTGTAATAAATCTGCTTACGTAATACTTGAACGGCCCCTTATCCACAAGGTGCTGAAGGGATTGAGATGAAATTTAGTACACACATAGTTTATGACCTGGAATAAGACATAGATAATTTTAATCCCAGAAAATTGAGTTTTCTGAGAAATTCCAAAAAATTTTAGCTAACACCGTTTCAATAAATATATGTTTTTTTAATTATTTTTCAGGTGGTATTGTCCATGACAGACTATTGTCACGCAATGAACTTGTAGAATTCAGTAAACTTCCTAACATAGATGTGGCAAGAAGTCAACTTTGTGCAGTATTGGAGAGTGCTGGGTCATGCCTTGTTGGCCAACTGAATCAAAGCCAGCAGACTTTAGTATCTTATCTTGAGAAACATGCAGAACTTTTAAAGCCTGTTGACACAAAAGAAAGTAAAGAATGAGATTTTGATTTGTAGATTTTAATTCTTAGTAATAAATTGTAAATGTTAATATAGATTTATATCTGAGTTTATTTCAAGTATAACTTAAGCATGGACTAATAATATTATACGTCCATGCCAAAAGCAAGTGGGAAATTATTTATTTGTTTCTAATTCTAGAGTTGAGTGGTAGATTTTTGCCTTGAATTGGAGGGGAAGTTGCCTCCATCTTGAGAAGACCTCAGTAAAATATCATTAATTTTTGTTTGTGTTTCTGTCGGTGAGTAAATGCTCCACTGGCTAGGAGATTGGGTTTGGGTAGGTAACAGCTTGAGTGATATCACCGGTAGTCCCTGGAAACACTCGAAGTGGTCCTAGAAGCCATTTGATAAAATATTTTCTATCTAAGTAAGAAAACGCTGAATGATTTATGAATCCTGGGGGGGTAGGGGAGCAAATCATAAGTGGTAAAGACAAATTTTGACATCTTCCTCTCCTCTACGTCCTCTTCACGAATAGGTTAAGAACCATTGGTCTAGGCATATGCTTCACCATCAGGCGGGCCATAAGCTAGTTGACATTACCCTTTTGACATAAAAAAAATAAGGGGGATCCTTTCAGTTTTTTTTGGTTTAAATAAAATATTTATTTGTAGACAAAGCAATGCTACAAATGTTCCTTGTTTTTTATGAGTTTGATATTTCGGAATTTTGGCACTGTTGCAAGCACCATCTTGAGGCAACTAAGTAAGTGGGTAAAATGGCAGTCATATTGTTTTCTGGATTTTTCACACTGCAAAAATTTTGCAATGTTTATTTGTATTTTAGTATTTACATTATTCTCTAAACCTAAACTTAATTGACAATAGTGTATCCTTGCCGTGCTCTATACAGAATGAAAGGGACGGACTGATATTAAGTTTTAAGTTTAGAGAATCATGCCAGAATTGTCACAACTGCTAGATTTTTATCTCATGTTTACTTTTCCATCCTTTAACATTTTGTGTACTTCTGTTCATAATGTGATTTTAACTCTCAGATTGAGAGATCTGGTCACTAAACCATACTATTTAATTGTTTACTGGTTTTAGTAAGTAGTGATTGTAGTGGTGGTTTTTCTGTTCAATCTGTTGGTACCTCTTTGTTACATGCTATTTATTTTTGTTTTAATATATTCGTTAGTTTGTGCTATGTCTCGTCATTTGGTATGATTTTAATTTTTTGCTTGGTCTAATGTTTTCATACTGCCGAAGAAAAAGTATGTTACATATTTCTTCGACAGTTAGCAACCCTTAGCATAAACCAATACTGTACTCGAATTTTTGAATTCAATCTCGATAATAGTGCTATTGGATTGGAAGATTTATCGTTAGAACCCTTACTTAACTATTTTCAATTCAATTACAACATATTTGTTTCTTAGGTTTTCACGCACATCACTCATTAAATACAACATTAATAAACGTAGGTTATAATCTCATTGAACATTAAAAGAATATGTATGTACCTACTGATACTTATATTTTTTCCCCTATTTTGCAACCTAGTATCCATATGGTTATGAGTAGTCATGCTCTCTTAAAAATCTCTTCGGCGGCGGTGTCGTGAGCGGTGGGTCGTTACGTTCCCTAAAAATGGTTGGGCGAAGCGATGCTGGTTCATGCGACAAGCTCGTAATGCGTTTAGCAGACGACGGGGCGGGGCGGGCCGGTCAATTTCGCCGCGAATAATAGCACAAAGTGAATCCTATACTTCACACACAGAGGGCAAAAAGACCGCGCCGCAGGTGCCCGGCGGGCATTGGCGGCGCGGCATGTCCGCGGGTGCCCGCCGTGGATCATACAAACCAGTTTATATGCAGTAACGCAGACGGCGGCGCGGGGCGGCTAGCTCAGTCCGCGCCATGCGCTTATTAGTGATGGACTATTCACTAGAACGAACGTCCTAAACTGACCGCCTCTGCCGGTCGTGTGCTTTGTGTACGCGGCGCGGGCAGCCTCAGACATCGACGGGCAGACGCGGTCTTTATTGCTTCGCGGACAAAATGCCCGCCCCGCCCCGTCGTCTGCTCAACGCCTAAATGGGTGCTGCCAGCGGAGATGAGTCTGCTCTTGCTACATTGGGTACTAATTAATCGTTGTATTTAACTTTAATCGTACATTTTTTTATGCCTAAATAAGCGGACACGGCATTCCTGAACATTCCAAAACTTAAACTTTGTTAAATCAGTTTATATTTTTTAATTTTATAGTCATGATTTTTGTATCATTTATATTTATATGGAAAGTGACTAAATGAGTTATCTCAGATTGAAGTCATTTTTCAATTTGACGATTCTGTATATACCTAATACAGAGAGAAAAAAACAGCCCTTGCTGAGTTTCTTGCCGGTTCTTCGCAGTACGAGGTCTCCCGCCGTAGATTTACGAACCGATGGCGTAGCTTTCGACATTCACAAGTGCTTGCAACAGCATAGACCGAGTAAACGATATGGAATTTAATTGAATTAAATTCAAATGTAGGTACGTAACTAAATATTAATAACCAACTATCATAAAATATAACAATTGCATAGCATTTTTTACCCGGCTGCGCAATGCAAGAGCGCGAAGCGCGACGCGCAGACAGGGTTATGTGTTTAACAGTCTATATATGTATGTTTGTTCCTTTGTGGCACACTAGAGACCAAACGCCTGAACCGATTTTGATGATTCATACATCAATCGATTCGTCTCAATCATGGGAGTGCTACTAAAGATATGATAGTAATCAAAATTCAATATGGGCAAAATTAGGCGCCATATTGTGACGAAGTAAAAAAAATAAGTTTCCAAAATATGTCGAGTGGGGTATCACTGTCTAGATAATCAAAAATCATATTTAGGTTCCTAACATCATGTTTCATTTTATATGATTGTTTAGGATCTACAACGCTTTAAAGTTGTATATTAACCACTTACGCTTTTAATTTCAATCTTACGTTTGTATGGATCTTTGTTACTCATTCACCTAAAAAATACTGAATGGATTTTAATGAAACTTAACAGTAATATAGCTCATATATGATAATTACATATATATAATAATTTATGTAGTTATTGAGTGAATTGGCCAATATATAACAATAAGTGTCACATTAGACGGAAAAAAATCTCCCATCTGCGAGCCATTTTGGCCTGCACTGCAAAAACAATAAAAGTTACATGAATGTAATGTAGAGTGAAAATGTATCTCTTAAATAGTTCTAAAAAAAAGTCCGTGTCACCGTATATCTATTTTTAATGTGTAAGTCATTACCGCTAAAATAGTGAATCAAAACTAAAATATTATTTGATATCTATTTCCAAAATGCACATTTTGTATTAACTAATCATTTTTTATCAAAACAAATAACAACTTTTACCGCTTTTGATAGTTAAAGACGATAAACTTTGCTTTTTACACTATGTCATTTCGACAAATATTTAAAAAGTTACAACGATGACAAAGTGATAGCGCGGTGTACTATGTAAAAGAAAAAAATGGGCTATTCGCAGTATCTGATCCTATACGAAGCACTAACAATAAAAATGTGATACAGTTCCTTCTTATTAAATGATGAAAAATATATTATCATAATAGGTATTTATGATTATTGAATTTTAATGAAAAACTCTGGATTTTACTGTTTTTCATTTTTTTAACGATATTACTTAATGTTACAAAAAAGGTTTACTTAATATAATGACAAATAACCCATTTCTCGCTAGTAAGTACATACTTATTGGAATCCCTATATTATTAATCAGCTCGCGATAATATTGGTTTTGTAATAATTCTACAAAATTCAAAGTAAATAATGTAGATTTTTATAGGTAAATCACCCCTTTCATCACCCTACGCCAATAAGTATTGCGATGTTGTAGCAAGAACCAAGTTCCCATCTACTTCTATATGGGAATTCATTATATTCGATTTAGCTATTAGGGCACGGAAGCGCAACAAACAAACTCACTTTCAGATCTATAATATTATATTATACTTACTAGTGATCCACCCGGGCATTGTACGGGCGTAATTTATTTATCGGGATGAAATATAGCCTATATCACTCGGACAAAATGTATTTAAATAAATAAAAATGTAATAATAAATAATGTAGCTACCTTATGATGAATTAATATTTGAAACCGGTTCAGTAGTTTGACAATTTGTTACAAACATACAAATCTTGCCTCTTTATAATATTAGTATAGATAGTTAGGATATGATAAGTATTTAATTGATGAAAAACATTTAAAAATAAAGTAAGTAATAGGTTTATTTGATTATAATTGTAAAAGTTACTTAGTATTTGTGCTTAACAGTTATAATAGATACGTTATTCGGTATTTTTTTAAACAAAAAAAATTGGAAAATAATTGCCATGATTGCCCTACTGGGAGTACTCTTCATTCAAACTTTACACTGCCAATAAAAAAAGGGTCGATCACAAAGTCTTTGACCTGTTTTAAGTGAACGCTTTAAAAGAAAACTACAAAGAGAACTATAAATTGATAATAAATGAGATTGCTATGGTGCTCTACCTAACGTTATGAAAATTTTATTATGCGCCTTTAGTTTAATCAAATATTATAAACTTTGCTTTGGTGATTGCATAATTATTTAATTTAGTGATCTAAGGCAGTTGCCACCATTGTCCAAAACAACAAACGGGAATTATTGCTTTCTTCAACCTGCAACATAAACGTCATTAATTGGTATTGTTTAAATGGTGATTAAAAACATTTGAAGTTAACTTCTGGCATCTACATATTGGGTTTCTGTGAATTATGTGGGTATATCAAATCATGAGACTAGGGACTGACACTGCATTTGTGTATATCACCATCTTAGACGTCAGGCATTGACATGACAATGCAGCCACTGCCAATTTTAAATAGTCGACGAATAAAAGTAAATGAATTTTATATTTACTGCTAAACTATTTAAAAAACATAAACAAAAGATGACTTTTTGAGTAAGTGCTAGTTTACTATAAAATTTACATACATTAGAGATATTTATGTAACGACTTG